ACTCAACTCATTTACATAAAATGTTACGTTTGTGTGTGTCCCAGTAGTGTGTCCAGACACCCAGAGCATATAACGCGGGAAAGTCGGGAGTACATGTAATTTGGTGACAAAATGCAGTCTCATAATTCGACACACAATTTAGTGTACGACAGAAAATTGTTGAACTTTACTTAAATTGGCCTTCGTGTAGTCAATTTGCACAACAAACTAGGGTGTCAAAAAGTACTACGAATAATATATGCACTAAACTTATTACTAGCGGTGATGTTTCAGCTGGGAAGCACGGACGAAAACATGGTAACAGAACATGCTTGACTGGCAATATTTTACAGCATATTGAATTTTATAAACTGCGATAGCCTAGTATTAATCGGCGTGAAATTTAAAAAACAAAATGTCTTGCGCAAACAATAAAAGAGAGAATGGCGCCTTGGATTCGGACAGGTATACATTGTATCAAACATGTTTAGGCTACAGTTATAATGTTTTGATTAGTAGTGATAAAATCAGTGGCAATTTTATTAGGTACTTGCTCTGATGTATCAACATTTACCACAATCTGATCGTCCAATGTTTAGTGAAAACGATTGTAAAACTTTTCTAATATGACCAATACGACCTAATGCATTAGAGGCTGATTTACAGACATTTGAAAATTGTTTATGGGAACAAGCAAAACTATCCATGTGAAACCCGAGATTCCTCACGAGATCAGACAAATTGATTTCATCAGAACCGATGCAAAGGCATGATTAACGCCCATGCATGAACCTTACCGTATTTTGAGTATATGTGTATCACTTCAGTTTTCCTGTCGTTCAAAACCAACCTGTTTGACACCATCCACTCATTTTCGAATTTCATCAATGCACGCCTCAATCACAGGTCAAAAAATCAGCGTTTTAACACGTGATATATAAGTATGTATCATCGGCATACATCATGAAATTCAACAAATGTTTCTACCGAGAGGTTACGTACCGAGCTCTGTAAATGCACCCTGAAGGCGACATGCGCCTAATCAAAGTTGCGCCGTTGGTGTCAGTATTTGTTTGAAGATCTTTGAACTATTTTTTTACGTCAGATTTGAGCCAACATTCTTCAAAAGTTTTAATAATGATTTGATTTTTAATACGTTTCATTATATATACCTTAACAACAATATGCTTTTAATATGTCAGAATTATTTTCGTTATATTATTATTATTATTATTTATATACATTACTGTTTTGCACCACGTAATGCAGTATGTCGTGTGCAAACGAACACCCCCCTAACCAATGTCCGACGTTCGAAAACGTAACTCTATATAGATAAATTTGGATGTACATGTATTTGTTAGGTGACCCACCTTCATTTTTTCCTATACTTTAATCGTAAACGGACACAGACGAGCTTTTCTGTGAATTGCAAGTCTGGAATCTATTGGCTGTATTATCACCAACAACGAAGTCCAAATTTAGATTTCATTTCAAGGTATCTTGTTTTTATACATTTTTGTTTTTTAGCAATGTCGTTGAAACATAGATTACTACTTGTCGATACAGTGATAGCAAAACCTGCACATGAAATTCTTGGATTTGTATCTCCGATATTTCTAATTTCAAGTTGCTGGCGTCATCTTCGTGTGGTAAATCATTGGTAATCGGAGTGAGTGGCAATGGTTACAGATAATATTACAATCGTTTTCACTAAACATTGGACAATCAGATTGTGGTAAATGTTGATACATCAGAGCAAGTATCTAATGAAATTGCCACTGATTTTATCACTACTAATCAAAACATAATTGTAGCATAAACATGTTTGATACAATGTATAACTGTCTGTACTCAACTCATTTACATAAAATGTTACGTTTGTGTGTGTCCCAGTATGTGTCCAGACACCCATAGCATATAACGCGGGAAATCGGGAGTACATGTAATTTGGTGACAAAATGCAGTCTCATAATTCCACACACAATTTAGTGTACGACAAAAATTGTTGAACTTTACTTAAATTGG